CAACCTTTGAGTTAGTAACTGAGCGCTTAACCATTTTCACCACCCAGGGACACCTGAAAGCTACACAGTCTTTCCAAAACCCTACGACTACTCAGTCAAGCTGAATACAATGACAAAAACACTCCTTTCTCAACCTCCAGTACATTTGTAACAAACACAGAACTCCACAAGTATCTTCTGGGGAAAAGAGATCAATATATTTTTTTGACCATGGGTTAAAAGCAGTGTCGGTTATCAGTCTGAAAGAGGAACGGCATTTCGAGGAGAGGACATTCAGACTCAAGGAATTATATAATGTATGTGCCCATTTGAAACCTAAGTCACATTTTAAATTCATACCAGAAGCTTGACTCACAAACTATACCAAAATTGCTTCTTGATATACCGAAGTTTTCTGTTTTCATAAAGGTAAAACGTAACAGTTATTGAGTATTTGCTATTTACCCAAACACTGAGAGAGGCACTTACAGAAGCTATAGAGTTACTGTTACTAGCCTCTCAGTAGCAGAAAGAACTGAGGCTTGGGGAAGGTAACTGGCAAGTAACTGTGGAGCTGATTTCATACTTACAAACCCAGGCAGTCTGATTTCAGAGTGAGCTCTTACTCACCAGGCTATAAAGCTTTCCTTTTCTACTGAAAGTTATGTGGGAGCAAATAGATATCAGATTTTTAGTGGGTTAAAACATTTGTTAACAGAATAGATTAAGTTTCTGTTTTTTAATTGAGTTCATTTTTAAATGGCATGAACGAAAATGTCCATTTTGTCAGTTTCATTTTTCTTCTCTCCTATTATATTACAAACTACTTAAAATTATGAGAATTATATCCCTTTATGTACTTTAAACATTTTTAAACTCTATCAAGGACCCTCTGTAGAAAGCCTGCTGACTAGCTAGATGGGCAGGCTTGGGTCAGTTACAATGTCTTTCTACTTTAGTGACCTTTCACTTTTCAACATCATGAAGGAGAATGTTCTTCTTGTTATTGTCAAACCTCTGCATTTATCTCTCAGTGAGCACATTTGTTCTATCCACTTTCACTGAGGTATCTGTGCATTACACTCTGAGGAGATGACTTGTTCTATTGTTTCTCTGAATACAATTTGAAATTACATGTGGCTCATCTTGAAATAGGCAGATCACAGTAAATTCATGCTATACTAGGCCAGTGCTTCTCTGGCTTGAAGGGGCATTCAGATCACTTAGAAATCTTATTAAAATGCAGGGCCTGAGATAGCACATTTCTAACAAGCTCTCAGGTGAAGCTGATGTTACTGGTCCATGGACTACAGTTTGAGTAGGAGGTAGTAAACTACCCAGTTTTCTTTGGGTCTGGACAGAAAATCTGGTTTGATTCCAAAATCAAGGAAAAACCTCACCCTACAATTTTTCTCATTTTCCCAAAGTTTTATGTATCTGATCATAAAAATCAGGTGTGATATAAACCAAGTTACATGTTTTTATGTTTCTGGACAAAAGTATCTATAAAAGCTATTTTAAAAATAAAATGTTTCCAACAGATAAGTGGTAACTTTGGTGAAGGGTAAGACAGTACACAATACTGAGGAAGCCAGCACAACTCGTACAAGGAAAGGTTATGGAAGCTCCATAGACACATCCAAACTCCCTGAGGGACTGAATTGCTGGGCGGAGGGCTGTGGGGACCGTGGTCTCCAGGAACATCTAGCTTAATTGGCATAACACAGTTTATGAAGAAAATGTTCTACATTCTACCTTGGTGAGTAGTGTCTGGGGTCTTAAAAACCTGTGAGCAACCATCTAAGATACTCCACTGATCTCACCCCTTTGGCAGCAAGGGAGAATGAAGAAAACAAGATACAAGGGGAAGATTAGTCCAAAGGACTAATGGACCACAACCTCCACGGCCTCCACCAGACTGAGTCCAGTACAACTAGATGTTGCCCGGCTACCACCACTGACTGCTCTGACCGGGATCACAACAGAGGGTCCTGGACAGAGCTAGAGAAAAATGTAGAAGAAAATTCTAACTGACAAAAAAAAGACCAGACTTACTGGCCTGACAGAGACTGGACAAAACCCTGAAAGCATGGCCCCCAGACACCCTTTTAGCTCAGTAATGAAGTCACTCCCGAGGTTCACCATACAGCCAAAGATTAGACAGCCCCATAAAACAAAACGAGACTAATGGGGCATAACAGTCCAGGGACAAGGACTAGAAGTCAGGAGGGGACAGGAAAGCTGGTAATAAGGAACCCAAGGTTGAGAAGGGACAGTGTTGACATGTTGTGGGGTTGTTAACCATTGTCATAAAACCATATGTGTACTAACTGTTTAATGAGAAACTATTCTGTAAACCTTCATCTAAATTACAATAAAAAAATTTTTAAAAAATAAACAAGGTTTCAATTTGGGGCCCAAATCTACTAGTTCAAAACTTTCTATGTTTTGCTTTACTTCAACGTTTTTGGAATTTCTATTCATACTGTAGATGGGATCATGAGGAATCTGCTTTGAAACTTCTAGAATCATCTGGCTACCAGAGAGCTGCCCAACTTGGGGCAGATTATTTCTTTTTTCTATGTAAGCTAAATCCATGACTCTGGGTATTAAAGGAATCAAAGCCAGTTTTTAGGATTGTTCTGGAATCAGCTCCTTGACTAGTGGCCCCATTTTAACAAGAGTCAATTTAAGAATTTCCTAGATTTATTCAGAGTCTGTTCTCTTTCAGGTACCCATGTCTCTACACTCTTAACAAGAAGATATATGAAACATATAAACCCATTGCCATCGAGTCAATTCCTACTCAGAGTGACCCTATAGGACAGAGTAGAACTGCCTCATAGAGTTTCAAAGGATCAGCTGGTGGATTTGAAAATGTTGACCTTTTGGTTAGCAGCCATAGCTCTTAACCACTACACCACCAGAGGCAAATGTAAAGCTCCTATACTCAGGCCCCAAGATCAAATTGCACAAGAGTGAAATGAATAAGAAATAGAAACTCACCACTTTAAAAAGAAACAGAAATTTTTATAGACTGCTGACTCAATATAAGTGACCAGAATAATATGATTTAGTCTAGGAAACCATTAATAGAAGAATACTAAAAAAAAAAACTCGTTGCCGTCGAGTCAATTGTGACTCATAGTGACCCTATAGGACAGAGTAGACCTGACCCATAGGGTTTCCAAGGAGTGGCTGGTGGATTTGAACTGCCCACCTTTTGATTAGCAGCTGAGCTCTTAACCAGTGCGCACCCAGGGCTCCAGTAGAAGAATAGTGCCTAGGAAAAAGGAGGTAACGGGCTTCCTCTACTATGTATTGGCAAAGTCGTGCCTGGGGTGTTATGCTGTTCAGATATGTGAATGAGAGAGTTTATATGTGTATGGCTGTGTGTAAGAGGGAGATGGTGAGGCAAAAAGGAAGAGTAGTCATAGTATATGAGAAACAATGAAAAAGATGAATAGATTCTAAAAAGATAAACCAAGGTGGTGAGGGACCTTCAAACTGCGTTATAGCTTCAAAGAATGTTTGAAGTGTGTAAATGTGGGTTTTGGAGTGAAAATAAGACTTACTGATGCTGGATGAATGGGTGGATGGATGGGTAAATGAACAGATACATGGACAGATGGATGAATAGACGGAGGTTAGAATAAAAGATATAGATGGATGGATAGGTGACAGATAGATAGATATATAGACAGACTATTAAATACATTCTATGTGCCAGACACTCTGCTGAGTACCCTACATATATTAGGTGCTTTCATTCTACAAACAATCCTCTGAAATTAATATTATCCCCATGTGAAAACTGGTAAATATTAAGGCATTGAGAAATTAGGTTACTGACCAGGTGACGCCCTAGTTTGTGTTCTTGGCCTCTAGTTTATAACCCTGTCTAATAGTCATGGAAGTGTGCTGCTCAAATCTCCCTTAACGAAAGAACTCGCTGGTCAGCTACAAGGAGTCCAGTTAGCTGACAGCCTCCAGTTGTTAATTCCTTCAGGATCTGATTTAGCATTCAGAGACTATGCTGTTTCTGAGAAGCCCCAAGCCAATGACTGAGCAGGGGTACCAGGGCTTGGATGTTTCTGCCATTGCAGGGCTCCTCTCACAGGCAATCTTTTCTCTAGAGCTCCCTGTTTAGTTGTCAAAGACTCTGTCAGATTTGTTGCAATCTGAGGCTCTCCCTGCCCAATCCTGCGTCTTCCTTACTTTCTTTCACAGGTGTCACATTTGCAATTCAGTCTAAAGGCTTTGGCTGCCCAATACTGTCTCATCCCTCTTTTTATCTTTCACAAGAACTACTCTGAATAGACCTCTTTTATTCAAACCTCCCTATCAGCATCTGCTTCCTGGAGGACCCAACTGATACGCCAGACCTTCGAATATTTGGGTTGCTCTCATATAAAAGAGCATTTACAGTTGTTTTGTATGGTCATATGGGGTTGAATTAGGACAAGATGGTTAAACAATTAAGGAAGCAGCTTCACATATGCATAAGGAAGAACTTTCTAATAACTAGGGCTGCCCAACTCTGGAATAGGCTACCTCAATACTAGTGAGGCCATTCAGGCCAGTGAAGAACTGCTTGTTGGATGAGGTCATGTGACATTGCCACAACCCCCACTCCCATACATATCTGAACATCTAGGATGCCAAACATCCCCAATGCTACTTGAGTAGCAAAAAACAAATAATTTAGGAAGCCACACCAGGAAGAACAAACCTCTGATTTTTCAGTGGTTCAAGGGGTCTGGTTTGATACATCCATACTTGCCCACTCCCAGGGTAGTCCCAGGTACCCTAGACTAGACTGGCCATTGTCCACATCTTTTTTTTTTTTTTTTAAATCACAGAGCTTACACCAAGTGAGTTAAGGCTGTATGCTCATTGTCCCCATGGGCCATTTGGCAGAATCAAATCCAAACTGTACATTTGCTTAAGTTAAACAGCCTATGATATCTGGGACTCTAACATGGGTTTCAACATCTGATGAAGCTCTAATCACTCCCTCCATTACCATGTGGTTCTCAATTACTTGCATACTATAGGGTCGCTATGAGTCTGAATCAACTTGACAGCAGTGGGTTTGGTTTTTTTGGTTTATAGCCAGAAATACTCTCTTTCTCAATGCTATTGTCTCTCTGCCCTCATCAAGACACAGGCACACCAGTGAGGGACACACTGCCCCCTGCCAGAATTTCCACGGTAGTCAAATTACATAAGTAATCATATTTTTCAGATGCTAAAATAAAAGGTGGGAAAGTGTGGTAGAGAAAATAGTAATCTAATCTGCATAAGAAACTGTATAGAAGGAGTCATTCATTAGATCTACAAATATTTACTGAACACTTACCAAGGGCTAGATTTTCTGCAGGGAGCTGGGGATACGATGCAGTCCTTGACATAGTCCCTAATTTCATTCAAATGCTGTTGAGATAGTCTGCTGACCCTTCAAGAGAGAAGCAATTGAACTCACAATCACTGGTAGTGATCCTAGAGAGTGTCTTGGAGTCTTCAAACTGATATCTTTTCCCTTTCTTTCCACCCCCAACTTCTTGCAGCAACCCTGGCACGGACAGTCTACATTTTCAAGAAATATTTTATTATACTAATAGTGCTCTGTAGCAAATACATAAAGTTTGCAAGAGGTGGTCAAAAAAAGCAAGCTCAGCAATATATGGGGGCTTTCACAAGTGATGATACAGCTGACCTACTGGAGACAAAGGCAGTGGGAGGGCCCTTACTGGTGTAAATAAATAGGAGTATCTGGGGCTAAGAACCCACAGCTTGGACTCAGAGCAGACGTCTGAACTCCACCTCCAGGCAGAATGAGATTCACTTCTGCATCTCTGCTTCTGCTGCTGCTGGCCATCAGCCTGTCTCCAGTCCAGGGTGAGAACTTTCACTTACCTTTTCATTGTCCTTTTGAACAGAAATGGTCTTTAGCCATTTCTTTTTTTTTTTTTTTCAATTAAAAAAATGGGGTGGGAGGAAATATGACTAAAAGATGAAAAACTTCTCAGGTAATCCCAGATTTCTAGAAGCAGGGTGCTTTCTAAAATCAAGGTGCTTAGGGATTTAATTCTTAGAGTCTGGAAGCATTCATATTGTTAAGATCTTTATCTGTGGAAGGAGGAGATACTGGAAATCCAATGTTCATGTGACTTATCCTTGGTTTGTATATTCCTGGCCTGTTTCAGATTCTGCTCCTGCTATAACTAATTCTTTACATGTCTCTTTTCTTCATTATGCCTCTCAATGCTACCTCTTCTGACCAAACCCTTTTTGGGATTAGAGGCTATTGACCTCAACTGATCTCCTTCATGGAACGTTCTTGACATAATTCCATACGATTAACTCTGACGTGAACCATTGTAAGTACACCAGGGGTTCAAATTTACATGCATTCTGCAAAGTAGCAGATTTTTAAGAATAAATGTAGAGGCTATCTTTATGTAAGAAGATAAATATCTGGTTGAAGTGGTAAGTTTTTATACGGCTGAACGAATCGCACGCATGTGCGGAATGAAGTATTCCACTCAGGTTTAGAGGACAAATTTTGTTCCCAAAATGCAGGATTTTTTTTTCAATTTTTATTTTGATTCACATGTTATTTTTACTATTCAAGACCCTCATTTCTTTCTTCCTCCATGAGGCTTTTCCGTGCCCTTGAAAAGTTAGCTTTAGTTAAATCCTCTGTTCCCAGTGTGCAGTTTGGACCTTAGGTGAAATATAATCTTCCATAGTACTTCCGTTTTTGTTTACTTGTCTATTTCCCTCACTAAATTGTAAACACCTTAAGTTGGATCCTTTCATTTGTAAATACATGTCAAGCACATAAGTAGGCACCGGGGATAAAGAGATTTTGATAAATGTTAAATAAACTCAGCACTCATTAAAATGCAAGAGATAGGTTATTTATGAAAATGTCCCATACTAATAGCTTTTGTTGTCGAATGAAAATAGTTTTGAATTTTTATTATTAGCTTTGGTTGGGTCATGCTTTACAATTGTGCTGGAGGACCAATTTATTAAACAAAAACAATAAAGTGTCTTTCACGGCATTTCCCCCAAATAGAAAGACAGGGGAAAGCATGATAAGAGAGAGAATACTGTTGCAGCCTGTTATTGCTCCTGGGATTCTAACCAGTTCATATCCTTGGTTTTTATGTTGCTTGCAAGTGAAGATCAGTTTATTTCATTTTGAGTTAATTGTAACTCAGCTGTAGGTTACCACAGTAGTGGTCCTCAATTTTGTTTTTAACGACAATCTCTTGAATACCAGTATAAATGCTGCCACAAGTTTCAGTAAGTGCTTTGTTTTTAAAAAGTTGATTTTATTTTTAAGGTTTTGATAGAAAAAGTTGGAAAACAATCAAGCCAAGACAAGCAGAAATACGTACTAAGCTAAAAGCATATGGGTGAAAGTATGGACTTTATCTTTTTTTAAATTTTAAACTAATTTAAACTTTAAATTTGAAAATCCTCAGAGGCACAATATGAAAGATTAGTTAATTAAGTTCTAGTTGTGCATGATATGTCAAAGGGACTAAAATAAGTGATTCTGTTTACAGGTTTTCTGGAGGCCAATTACACAAATTTAAAATGTAACTGCATCCAACAGACCTCAGCCTTCATCCCCATGCAGCGCATTCAGCGGCTTCAAATCTCCCCTGCTGGGAGCGGTTGCCCAAATGTAGAAGTCATGTAAGTTGGAAGGAAAAAAATATATATATACGATTCCTTTCTCCAGTGAAAATCAGACCACATGTTGTCACGCAGGATTCTTACTTAACAACCTCAAAATGATTTATTTTGAGCGGTATTAAAAATTCTTAAGCTAACAATGATGTTGTTAGGTGTGATGGAGTCTATTTCTGACTTATAGATAGTATTTATTGAGTACTTACTTTGCAGCAGCCACTGAGCTAAGTGCTCTAGATGCATTCACTCATTTTATTCTTTCAGCACCATAAGAAGGGATATCTATTGCTATCACCCTTTTACAGAAGTGAAAACTGAGGCTTTGGGAGGTCAAAGAACTGCCTGAGGCACACCTTTATAAAGGGATGAAGCCAAGGATCCCCCCACATGTTTTCCTGTTCCAAAGCCTCTTCTCTAACCCACCAAATTCAAATTGGCAGCAGCAGCAGATGCTTCTCTCTTCAATAAGTTAAAGAGCAAAATATAAGTATACAGAACAGTGATCTAAACTATTATTTTATGAATCTGTCCTTTGGCTTTAGGCTTTATCAGCTTTGATCTGATAACTCTGATTAAATATTAGGCTAAGTGGACAGTAGTGGCTGGAAGAAATTTAATAGCTTTTTCCTTTTATTAAAATAGTGTGACCCTCCATTTTCTATGGTCCTGGAGCTGTCTGTGGATACCTCTATTATAGCCTCTCTCGCAAATTATCAAATGAGACACTGCATGTAAGGCCCTGGTGCAGTGCTTGGCACAGACATAGATGTTCAGTGAATGAGAGCTGCAATCATTATAGTATCGTTGTGCTGAAATAATCAAGTTGGTTTGTTTTGTCTCTATAATTTCCACTAGAAAATAAGTTGTTTAAAGACAAGGATGAGGTATTATTCATTTCTCTATTCCCAATGCTTCATCCCATACCTTGCATATAGTAGAAACTCAACAAATGTTGAATTGTTGCATTGAATATTTTAAATGGAGCCTGTACATATTCATGTAGCTACTTAGAACTTTGATTTCTCCCTCCTGGATTGATCTTTAATGAACAGCACCCACAACACCTTGCAGTATTAGACACAGCATCTTTCCCAGGGCATCCCTGACTTGGCCTTTGTTAGCAGTTCTTCCCTTGGACTTCTTTAGACTTTGGGGATGTTTGTAAGCTACTACCTTGTTTGTCCCATTCAATCCCATAGCTTCAGGTCTCGAACTATTTGTATTCAACCTATAGAAAAGAAAAATGGGGTATCAGAGATGCATATGAAAAATTTTCACTAAAAAGGCATTATAATTTCACCAATGTATTTAAAAAATGAGAGTTCTAACTAAAGCACAATTGTCCTCAAACTCAGAGGTGTAAAGTCTTGTCTTGACCTATCTGAGAGTAGTTCCTCTTGGTGTATAGATAACTGAGGATCCTTTCTTTGGATTACATTTTGTCTCTCATAACTCACATCTCTCCCCTCTCAACTGCAAGAGATAACACCCTAATTTTCTCTATTTAACTTCAATATTTTTGAAGTAATGAATGTTTGGTTTGATATCTTCTCACCAAATTCTGCATTTCTGAACTATAACCACATAAGGAAACAACTCATACCAGTTAGGGGTGAAAATACTGTGAGTCTAGATCGTCAGAAAGCTGTTTTTCCATCATAAATTCAGAAACCAAATAGGAAGGGTCTGCCCAAGACCCCAACTATTCTATGACCTCTGTTCTCTCTAAGAATCACGTGCAAGGGTGGAGTTTCAAAGCTAGATGGATGGATCCTTGATGTTTGTCATTTTGCTGCTAAGATCACTGAAACACCAAGAGATTGTGTTTTGCTCGAGGTCACCACAGTAGAAACGAGTTCCCCAGTTTGATATCAGCTTCCAATGCAAGTGAAGCACTTAACGCCATGCCTGACGTTTCGTAAACATTCCGGTCATGCTCCTGTAGAGGGGTGGCTAAAAGTGTGGCTTATGGAGTCAAATACTCTTCATTTGAATCCTGCTCTATCACGTATTTGTTGTGCAATCTTAGGCAAATTATTTAAACTCCCTAAGCCTCAAGTTCCTCATCTGAAGGTGAGGAAATAATAGTTCCTCTAACATAGGGTTTTTGTGAAATTAATCCATAAAAATGATCCATATTACCTACTCAGCATAGTCCGTGGCACATAGTAAGTACTTGATAAATACTAGCTATTAATCATTCTTGTTGCCTTTGTTATTGCTTAGTTTCTTAGAGCAGTGAAAGCCTCATAAAGTGGTGGTTCAACAAACTGTAGATGTTACCCAGAGCAATCAGCCCTGTAACCTCTCCCACATTAAATTTCATTGAATTTTTTTTTTCAAATAAAACTTCCTCAGGAGAACGTTTTCTGTGACCCAAGCTCAATTAACAAACAGATTTTTAAAATATTGTGATATAACTTTAGTAGGGAACCAACCTTGGAGTCAAGTCGTTTGGTCCATCTGCAACTCAGGTAAATGTTATCAACAAAATACTAACTTCTGAAATGTAAGATTCTATCAACTTTGTATTCAGTTCCACCACCTCACATATATGGTTCCTCAACGCTGTTTTTGTTTTTAATTCCCCAGACCTTATGCTACAAATCACCTACTCCACATCCAAAACAACCTCACTCCAATTTCACTTTATCTGAGAATAATTATTTTCTATATAACTCTTTCTTTTTTTAAAAGTACAGGATTGACTAAAATGTAACACTGCTTTATTTTTATTTATTTATTTTTTGTTATTATTGTTTTCCCCTAGAGTCTGGATGAAGAATAACACAGTTGTATGCTTGAACCCTTACACCAAATGGTTCAGGAAGTTCTTGAAAATGTTACAAAAGTAAGTCAACAATACCAAAGGGCTTTGAGATTCCAGTGTACTCCTGGTTTCCTTTTCCTGGGTCACTAAAAATGAGGACCATTTTAAATGCATGAGAAGTTTCTAAGACAAATACCTATCCTTCATTATTATTACTCATCAGATAGAGTGGGGGTGGCTCGTTCCAGCAGCTTGTAAACTAAACTGGAAAGCAGCGCACACAGTATTCCTTGCTTGATTTCTCCACGTTAAAACCAGTTTCTGGTAGATCTTCCTCTAAACATGACTTTTTTATTTGTTTTTGTTTTTTCGTAGAGAGCATCATTTCTCAACTTTACCAACTCCAACAATTAAGAGAAGGACTACTTGATGTCAATATTCACATTAAGAACACTTGCATCCCCCCATTATCCCACTCTGGATTTTAATTGTGTACTTGCTTGAATCTTTCTCAATAAAAAGAACTTCCCCATACAAATGGATATAAGACTATGTGTAAAAATATCCTGCAGAATTCAGTGCAGAAACTCAAACTTCTTTCATAGACAATACTCTCCAAGCTCTGGGAGTTCACATTCTTATTCATCAGGGAGGAAAGCTTTTCTAAGGACATTCATTTAGTTATAAATCATATGGTTTTTTTTTTTTTTATTATGTACTTGCTGTTTAATGCTAAATTTTCCTAGAAAATAAAGGAATGGGAATTTAAACCTAAATCTGAACACATGGCTTAGATTGAGAAGGAAATGATGCATGCTTTTCAGTCATTTTGCACCCCGAGAAAAGCAGATTTCCACAAGAGACTAGAAAGCTGTCTGGGAAACAACAGAAGTTCAAACTGGTAAAAGGCAGAGGACACCACACAGTGAATATTTTCTGTTCAAAAACTTACCATTGGGAGGAATGGGTTCATTTTCCACTTTAAGAGTTTCACTATGTAAGATTTATTGTCTTACTCAGAGTTATTTAGAGAAACAGTACCAGTGAGATAGATACATTCATATATTCATACATGTACATGGAAAGAGAGGGAGATTTATTTTAAGGAATTGGCTTATGTGATGGGGTGGGGGGTAGAAGGGGCAAGTTGTGCTAACAAGTTCAAAATCTACAGGTCAGGCGACAGGTTGGAGATTCCTGCAGGCTTGTGTCTCAAAATCTGTAGGTCAGAAGACAGCAGGAGTGAAGAGTGATGGCAAAACATCTATTTATAGTCTGGAGGCAGAATACATCCTAGGAAAAACTTCCTTTTTGCTTTTAAGGCCTTCAATTCATTATGGAAGGTAATCTGTTTGCTTAATATCCAGACTATTATTGGACCAAACCACTGGGCACCATAGCCTAGCCAAGTTGACACATAAAATTAACTATCCCACATGGAGTAAAACCAATAACATTCAAAGATACTCAGACTTAAATTCATCAAATACCCAGGAAAACATTTAAAAGATGATAAAAAGTGTATTCATTTATCTGTTTCCTTGGTGACCTTTTTTTACTCATATCTTCTGCAGTGACTTTTTTTTTTTTGGTCTCTGGTATAAAATTCTTTAATATATCCTATTAATCTAACACTGTTTAATAAACTTGAGCAAATAATTTACTTAATTATGAGAGATTTGTACTTAACTGAACATTTACTCAAATTTAGACACCCTCTGGCTCATAATAATGAAAAGTAGGGTTTCATCGTGTTAATTTTTCTTCATATGTGGCTTGCCTTTTACAGACAATCTAAAATTACATGACATCGAGTGAGTGACTTTATTCCTAATATTAGCACAATGGGAAAATGCTTGACTATGAGAGGGTATTTCCGCTGACATGCTAATTGTGATTTCCTCTAGATTTCTAAACTCCTACTAAAACCTGTTTCCACTGTCTCATTTATATTGATCCTTAAAGTCTCCCATATTTATCTGACAAAGTTTTGAATTTGGTGTCAAGCCTGTCTCTCCCGCCACCCAGGCTGAGCTCTGCTGCCTGTTTGTGCCTTCTACTCATCCAGCTGCTCTGTGAGCTCTGCTCCCAGCGCACTCCCCTAGTTTCTTAACTGTATCTTGCTCCCACTTTCATTTTTCTCTTTTAATTTTTGGATTTATCTTTATTAAATAGATGTCTTGAATGGGAGTAAAAAGTACCTACAAATACTAATTTTCTGATGTCTATAATTCAAAATATATTTCTTTATAACAAATATACCAAAAGGGGGCATATAAAATGCCATCGAAATTCTGCATTCTAGAGTTTTACACACTTCAAGTGGAAATTTTTAGAGATTAGAAATCATTTCATTCTTCAGTTTGATTCTGGTCTTTCAGAATGTAGCTAGACGAATACTAAAGAGCCTCAAATAAGAATTTACTACCGTTTCATATTAAGAAGCCCTGGTGACGCAATGGCTAAGCACTTGCCGAAAGATTGGTGATTCCAACTCATCAGCAGCTCTGAGGGAGAAAAAACCTGGTGATCTGCTCCATTAAAGACTGAAAAAAAAAAAAAAAAAAAACCCTGTTACCATTGAGTCAATTCCTGCTCATAGTGGCCAAAGGTCAGCAGTTCAAATCCACCAGCTGCTCCTTGGAAACCCTATGGGGCAGTTCTATAGGGTTGCTATGAGTTGGAATCAACTCAACAGCACACAACAACATCTGAGGCAGATACTACCATCACCCCCATTTTACAGATGTAGAAGCTGACACACAGAAAGGTTAAGTAACTTGCAATAAAACTATAACTTGGTTTTACAACTACTAAATGGCAAGCCAAAATTCAAACCCAGGCAGTCTGGCACCAGAATCCATGCTTGTAACCACTACATTATACTGACTCTATATGAGCACATATCATTAGCTCCATATTACAGAAACAGAAACTGAGGCAAGGCAAATAGGTATTTACTTCCCCAAATCACATAACTACAAAGACCAGAATTTAAACCCAGGGCTCTCTGACTCCTAAGCAAATGCTATTAATCTTTACGCTATATTGCCTAACATTTTCTTATCCCAAAATGTATTTCTTACCTCTTTGTCTACCCTGTTTTTCAGGACTAATCAAAGTCAGGTGGGTGATAAGAGTTCCAAAACGTTTAGGCCTCCCTGGGTTGAGGCATCGAAGTGTAACCCAGTCCCGGGGGATCTGTGCAGCTGAGAGGGCATCACGAAGGCAGTGGGCAGATGCAGAAAGGGAAACAAAACACAAGGCCAAGGAGGGATTCTAAACTTACCCTTCTTACCACACACACACACACATTCATTCCTCAAACATCTCAGTAGATGTGGGGATGCTCAGCTTGACATGTAACAGGGATCTTAACCCATGGGTAGATGTCGGATGACTTGTTGAGTCAGTTAATTGAGTGTCCGAGGAAAGGTGATCTTTTGCTGAGCTGGATGGGTTTGGGTCTGGAAAGGGAGAATTGTGGAACAGCAAGACAGAATCTAGGTAATTTATGGCAAGGTATATACGTACATACACAAATTAATTAAAACTCAAGGTAAAAATAGAATTAAAGATGAAATACAAGGTAATGCTGAGCAAAACAGGATGCCTAATTCTGGGGAACTGATGAAGGAGCTACAAGGCCAAGCTACAAGCAGCAGAATTCAGGGAACCAGTAACAAAGTCAGTTGAGCCTCCAAGTGCTCTGCTCACAGCCATCTGACCAGCCCAAGAAGGAAAAGATTCTGCTTCTCCAAGGGTTCAACCAACAAAAGGGGCTCAGGTCTAACTGTATGAGTTCTGTTCTAGATTTTTTTCATTTTCTATCAACTTCTATTCAACAATTCTTCCCTTTCACTGAGACGTGCCATTTTACTACTCCCAACTGTATGTGAGGGTCAGGTACATATCCAGGGTTTCCTTGTTCTGAGGTAAAGTTTGATGTTAATTTTGAACAGAATTAATGTACTGGTCTATAAAAAAAACTTGGTAGAACTGAGAAAGAGAAGCAAACCCATGAATCTAGCAGAGTAATACTTGAAAGAGAAATCACACCATTCTGTGAACTTTCAGGACAGAGGTTCTCTGCGTGTGATTCCCCCGAAAGAGCAGCATCAACATCACCTGGGAACTTATTAAAATACATATTCTTGGGCCCCTCCTCAGACCTACTGAGTCAGAAACTCAGGTAGGGTCCAGCAATCTATGTTGAACAAACTGTCTAGGTGATAATGATGCTACTAAAGTTTGAAAAACACTGTTCTAGGAAAAGGGTTCTCAACTCTTCGCAGTCCATTAGAATCATCTAGAGATAGAGAGACCTGTCATCGATTCGACTCAGACTCATGGCAACACTATGTACAACAGAACAAAATGCTGACTAGTCTTGCATCATCCTCACCATTGCAGGCACGTTCAAGTCATCGCTGAGGTTACTGTGCCAATCCATCTCACTGAGGGTCTTCCTCACCCTCTTTGGCCCTCTACTTTACCAAACATGGTGTCCTCCTCCAGCAAGTGATCCCTTCTGATGATGTGTCCAAAACAAACAAGGGGGAAAACGTTTTGTTGTAATCCATAAAGTTTCCATTGGCTAATTTTCAGAAGTAGATTGTCAGGCCTTTCTTACTAGTTTGTCTAAGTCTGGAAGCTCTGCTGAAACCTTTCCACCATGGGTGATCCTGCTGGTATTTAAAATACCTGTGGCACAGCTTCCAGTATCATAGCAATACACAAGCTACCACAGTACGACGAACTGACAGAGAGGTAGTGGAGATGTGTGTGTGTGTGTGTGTGTGTGTGTGAGGTTCATTGAGGTATAATTTACATATAGTAAAATTCACCCTTTTTAAGTGTACAGCTTGATGAGTTTTCACAAATGTATAAAGTTATGTAATTGCCACCACAATCAAGATAAAGAACATTTCCATCACCCAAAAAGTTCCCTTATGCCCTTTTGTAGTCAATCCCCCACCACTAGTCCCAGCCTTCAGCACTCACTAATCTGATGTCTGCTCCTATAGTTTTGCCTTTTCCAGAACGTCATATAAATGGAATGATAGACTGTGTAGCCTTTTGCCTGGCTACTTTCACTCCACATAATGGTTTTGAGATTCATCTTATTGTTGAATGTATCAGTAGCTTAATCCCTTTTGTTGTTGACGAGTATTGCATTGTAAGTATATATCACAATTTGTTTACTCATTCACTAGGTGATAGCCATTTGAATTGTATCCAGTCTGGGGATATTATGAATAAAACTGCTGTCAATATTCATGTACAGGTGTTGGTGTGAACATACATGTTTCCATTTCTCTCATTTTTATGAGATCAGATGTTGTGCTGGGCATTTATTATTCTCATGATGATGGCAGCTGTGCAAGAGGTATGAGAAGAAATCTCCTCTACTTCTCATGGTTTAGGCTCAGAATTGTCACCCTGTTACTTCCACTCACATCTTACTGGGTCAAATCACATGGCCAAGCCCAATATTAATGGGTGGGCAGTTTATTTCACTTCTACTGGAACTGCCAAACCACATGGAAAACTGCATAAATACAGAGCGATGAAGAATTTGGAACAATAATACAATCTTCCACAGTTACCAAATACAATGGTCCATTTTTTATGCTCATCTTATGGAACTCTTAATAGTATTTTTTGAGAAAGGAGGAAGAGTCCACAGTTAAACTCTCTTCCCTTAGCTTTCAGGATGGCACACTCTCCTGGCTTTCCTTCTGCCTTTCTGGCCAGTCTCTCTCAGCCTTACTTTCGGGCTCACCCCCTAACTCTGGCCACTCCATAATAGATAAGGCTATTTGTCTCTCTTTTATCATTATATACTTTCTTACCAGGAAATATCATCTAAGGTCCCAGCTTTCATTACCATGTAAACATTGATGACTCCCAACTTTGCATCCCAGTTCACCTCTGAACACCATTCCATTTTACCCCCATGACTCTGCTAAATCTCCACCATGGATTTTTCAAAGTTACCTCAAATTCATAATGTCAAGGACCCAATATTCCTGATCTGATTCCAACTTGGTTCAATTCCAGCATTATCTACCTCAGTGAAAGCTCCACAATTTGTCTAATTATGCAAGACAGAAAATGAGCACTCATTTCAGAATTTCTATCATCACTGGTCCCATAGCCAATCCATAACAAAATTCTGTTGATTCAGTTTTTTAAATATACCCCAAATCTGTCTGAAGTTCTCCATCTTTACTGCCTTTCTATGCCATCAGTTTTCACCTGGACTAATTAAATAGCTTAAAAACTGTTCTCCTTTGTCTCTTCCGATATCCTTCCATAAAGCAGTTAGGGTGATTCTTACAAAATACAAATCTGATGATGTCACCTCCTGCTTAAAATATTTCAAAGACTATCTTTGTCTATAGGATAAAAGCCCAAATTCTTTTTATGGTTGGCTTAGGCTGGGTTCTGTAGAGATGCAAAACCAGTAAAGCATGTAAGTATATATATAGAGAGATTTATATCAAGGAAATGGCTAATGCGGTTGTACAGGCTAGAACATCCCATGTCCATGGGACAAGAAGGAAGCTTCTCCTGATTCATGTAGCTGCAGGGGCTGGTGAACCCAAGATCAGCAGGTCAGAGAGCAGGGCTCTTGCTCACAGGCTGCTAAGATCAATGAATCTCAAGATCGGCAGGCAAGACCACAGGTAAGCTGCTAGCTCAAGTCCCAGGAACCAGAGTTCAGATGAACAGGAGCCACTGCAGGATCCAGAACAAGCAAAAGCCCACGAACCTTGCCAGAATGTCCACTTATCTTCAATGCAGACCACACTCCCGAGGAAGCTCCCTTTCAACTGATTGGCTATTCACAGCAGATCCCATCAGGGAGGTGATCACATCATATCAAATCCCATCATGGAAATGACACACAACTTTAACCATCACAATGGTCTACATGGATCCGGCTCATCTTGCACCATTCTACGCTGCCCCAACCCATTCATCATGTTCCCATCCCACAAGCCTTCTTTCCATACCTGGGACATGCTGTGTCCCTCAGTCTGGATGTTCCTCTCTCACTTTTTTGTCTAAATAATGTCTGTTTCCAGCTCAAAGAAATTTTCCTCAGGAAAGACTTCCATGCCCACCCCGCTCTCTCCCACAGCCTGCTTAGATCTCTTTGTTATACATTTTCATGTAACTGTTTTCTTTTCCTTGGGATCACTAACCTCTGTCACTTATAATAATAATTGTGTCACTAACATCTGTATTCTCATTAAGCTGTAAATTCCTTTAAGTCAAGAACTGTGTCTGGTTTTGCTCACTATTGTATCCTTAGCATCTATTAGGTCCTGGCACATAGTAGGTGTTCAATAAATATTTGATGATTAAATATATGAATGAATAGATGGATGAATGAATGAATGAATGAATGACTTGCGAGCATCCGTTTATTATAGTTTAAGATGCTACAATAGTGAATTTTTCATGTT